ATTAATGTTTCTGTCTCTCTCTGAAATATATATATATATATATATATATATATATATATATATATATATTAGAGGCCTGGTGCACGACATTCATGCACTGGGGGTGTGGGGGTCCCTCAGCACAACCTGCACCCTCTCCAATCTGGGAGCCCTCAGGGGAGCGCTCTCCAATCCGGAAGTTTCTGTCTGTCTTTGCAATCATATAAGTGAATTGTCTGAGACCCCAGTTCAGTTTGGTTTGTTGCTCACAGAATAATAGAGGCATTTTTTTTTCTTTGCTTCATTGATGGAGATTTCCTGGAAGTTTTAGGATATCTTCCCTTTAATTTTTCCTAGATGCTCTGATTTTACTTATGTCTTTCACCTTTGCTTTCCCTCCATCCCCCACCGCAACAGTGACTTGCTCCAGGCTCACTTTGGTCTAGTGCAGTGATGGCAAACCTATAACATGCGTGTCAGAGGTGACACGCGAACTCATTTTTTTGGTTGATTTTTCTTTGTTAAATGGCATTTAAATATATAAATAAATATCAAAATATAAATCTTTGTTTTACTTTGGTTGCAAATATCAAAAAATTTCTATATGTGACATGGCACTAGAGTTAAGTTAGGGTTTTTCAAAATGCTGGCATGCTGAGCTCAAAAGGTTCGCCATCACTGCTCTAGTGTCTAGGAGATCCATCTGCCACCAGAACTACGATTCCCAGCATTCCTGGTGCTCCCTGCACTCTGGGCTTCTGCTTCTGGTCCTGGGGCTGCCACCAGTAGTACTATGCCCAGAATTCCTGGTGCTCCCCATGCTCTTGGTTTTCCTTTCCTGCACTGTCTCTATCCCATGGCCTACCACTCTGCCAAGTCCTCCAAGCCACCAGTTCTCACTCTCTGCTCTCCATCTGGCAGCTTGGGGAGCCAAGTTCCCCAAGCTGCTCCACTCTCTGCCAGCTCTCCCGCTCTGCTCTCCGCCTGGCACCTGTGTATGCAAGTTAACCCGCCATCTTTGCTGGGTTAATTTGCATACTCGCTCTTGATAGGCTGGTGAGTGTAGCAGAGGGATGGTCAATTTACATGTTTCTCTTTTATTATATAGGATATCTACACTAATAAAAGAGAAACATGCAAATTGGTGTCATTCTGCTATGCCCACCAGCCAATCAGAATGATTATGCAAATTAACCCAACAAAGATGGCGGTTAATTTGCATACACAGGCTCAGAGTGAAGACTGAAGGCTCTGGCCGAGTGAAGACTGAAGACTGAAGACTGAAGAGGCTTGGCTTCTCCACTGCGGCTGGACCAAAGGCCTGGTTCCCAGGTGCCGGAGGAAAACCAGTGCTGGCAGCCAGAGGAAGGAAAGCCTATTGCATGAATCTCTTCATGCAACGGGCCTCTAATATATATATATATATATATATATATATATATATATATATATATGCCAGATTATTATGACCACCTGACATTTGTAGGCACATTAGCCGTATACTGCATCATATGGGATATGGAAGCTGAAGACCTGTTCGAACACCTTTGCTGTCTGCAGTTACCAAGATAAAACATCTCCAATTCACACAGGAACACAAGGATTGGACAGTTGAGCATTGGAGAAAAAGTCACGTGGTCCGATGAATCACGTTTCCAGTTGTATCATGCAGGTGGCAGAGTGAGAATTGGGCGGAAATAGCATGAAAGCATTCACCCCACAATCATGAGTACAACCCTTCAAGCTGGTGAGGGCAGTGTTATGGTTTGGGGCATGTTTTCCTGGCATGATTTGGGACCTTTAATTCATGTGGAACAACATCTGAATAGCACAACATACCTAAGTATCGTTGCTGATCAAGTTCATCCTATCATGTTGATGGCGTATCCCAATGGAGATGGCTTCTTCCAACAAGACAATGCGCCATGCCATGGTGCTCATATTGTGCAGGAGTGGTTTCAAGAACATGAGGGATGCCCTAATTGGCTTGGCTCGGTGGATAGAGCATCAGCCTGCAAACTGAAGGGTCCCAGATTTGATTCCGGTCAAGGGCATGTACCTTGGTTGTGGACATATCTCCATTAGGGGGTGTGCAGGAGGCAGATGATTGATGTTTCTCTCTCATTGATGTTTCTAACTCTCTATCTGTCTCCCTTCCTCTCTGTAAAAAATCAATAAAATATATTTTTTTAAAAAAAAGAACACGAGGGAGACTTTACCTTGCTTAGGTGGCCCCCACAATCACCAGATCTCAATCCAATTGAGCATTTGTGGGACGAAGTTAAAAGAGCCATGAGGAAGCTGGTTCCACAACCATCAAATCTCACAGAACTGGACAGTGCTATTCATCAGGCATGGTGTCAGATTCCTCGCATCACCTTTCAACATCTCATGGAGTCAATGCCAAGAAGAATCGCTGCAGTATTGAAGGCAAAAGGTGGCCCAATGAAGTACTGATGTGGTGGTCATAATAATCTGGCCACTCAGTGTAATATATATATCACAATTTTTTTAAAAAAAAAGAATGCCTGAACCCAAGGAGTTCTCTCCCTTTAACATGGCTCAGCTATTTGTGTCTTCCACTTTCTGTCTCATTCCCAAGTAGCATCTCCTCCTCCTCTCTGTCCTTTCTCTACCTCCTAGATTCTGCTTATTCTTGATGTCAAGCTGCTCATGTATAAGGGTTCCTCAAGTTCCTACGGTACAGACTTCCTCAGGTGCAAACACCTGGTTTAGGTCAATCAGTATGGTCAGCATGCCAGAGTTCCTTGGACACTGGCCTAACCTGGCTAAGAGGATGCCATGGTGAATGTGGACTAGCAGGCAACAACTTTACAGCATGACTGGGCTCCTTCTAGGTGCCCTGGAGGTGAAGATACTGAAATTGAGAGACCCAGCAGGCTGCATCTCCTAAATCAGGTGGTAGGCAGGGTCAAAGAAGCTTCCATTTGGCACTGTGAATAGGGTAGAGAGCAGGGGTCTCGAAGAGACCTGTTCTGGTTTTCAGTTGTCAGAACAGCATTCCCATCTCTGCTGGAACTGAATTGCCTCTGTGGGAATTTGGGGGAGGGGGGGAAGGAGCCATCTTGGTCACCTCTCCATGGATATTTTTGGAATGAGCAACTGTCAAGTGCCTGAATACAAAGGATGAGAGGCTTTGGAAGGTGAGAAGGGGTGGAAAACAGCATAACCCTTCCCTCTTGACAAGGCAGAGATCATCAGCTGCCTTTGCTCACAGTGTAATCTCTGAATAAAAATAGCCATCAGCCAAATTTTCAAGACTAATATGTGTCAACCACTAGATTCCAGCAAGTCTACTTAGCACTTGCCCATTGTTTGGGAACATTGAATACCTGTATTTTTAGTAAAACATAACAGAATAAGCTCTCTGTGAAAATTACAAACATTTTGTATGTAGCCAATAAAATTTTCTATATAGTAAATAAAATTTAATGTTATGAACTTAACTTGGTCTCAGAATTTTGGAATCTTGTTGGTTTTTCCCCTTCCCCAAATGAAAATACCTTTATTTAATTTTTTTCTTATAAGAGTAACCCATGCTATGGACCTAGAGACTACTATACTAAATGAAATAAGCCAGTCAGAGAAAGATAATTATCACCTGGTTTCACTTATATGTGGAGTCTAAAGAACAAAATAAACTGACAAGGAAAACAGGACCAGAGGCATGGATATATGGAACAGACTGACAGATCTCAGAGGGGAGGTGAGTGGGGATGACTGGAAGATATCAACCAAAGAATATGTATGCATGTATACATAAGTCCATGGACACAGACAATAATGTGGTGAAGGCCTAGGAGGGGTGGGGGCAGGATGGAGGGGGGCAAAGGAGAGAAAAATGGGGGACATCTGTGATAGAGTGACAATAAAAGAAACATTTTGCAAAAAAAAGAGAAAGAAAAGAAATAGAAGAAATTAGGATGCCACAAAAAACCAAAAACTTTTAAAAAGAGAGATACTGTGATATTACCTTCTTCAAGGCATTTCAAAGTGATTGTGAAGCATTAAAAAAAGAAACTGGAGAGTAAAGAATAAGATTATGTTTATTAGCCCATTTTCCTTTCATGCACGTCAAGAATTTATTTAAGCAAGGAACAAAGGTACCAGGATGTAACAGCTCTCTCACATTCCTTTTACATAAATACCCTGTAATAGCAGAAGTTGATCCTCAATATCTGAGTGCCTTAAAAAATTAAAATCTTTTAAAGTAAAAAAGATGCCGAAACCGGTTTGGCTCAGTGGATAGGGTGTCGGCCTGCGGACTGAAAGGTCCCGGGTTCGATTCCAGTCAAGGGCATGTACCTGGGTTGCGGGCATATCCCCAGTGGGAGATGTGCAGGAGGCAGCTGATCGATGTTTCTAACTCTCTATCTCTCTCCCTTCCTCTCTGTAAAAAAATCAATAAAATATATTAAAAAAAAAAAGAGCAACCCATGCTGAGGGTAGTACATTAAATAAAACTAAAAAATCTTAGAAGAAAATAAAATCTTTATTTTAACTAGCTGCTTCCTTATCTGAGAATCCACTCTGTAGCTATTATGTGAAGGTCCAGAGGACTGGAGGAATGAGCATCCATCCATGGCTGAGTGGAGAAATAGATTACAGGCATAGATGCTCCAAGATCAATGAAGAGAAAGAAAAATTCTTCAGAGGTGTACCAATGTCCTTTAACCCTAGGAGAAGATGCAGCCTTTCCCTGATGAAACAGAACACATACCACAGGGAGAAGGGGCCACAGTTGACCTCTGGGATTAAGAAAAGCTAAAGTGAGTGACGGTCACAAACAAGAGAATAGAAGCGGGAAGGGGCAGGGGGGCAAGAGGAGAAGGGTTAATGAAGGAAAGGAGTGGGAGGGGAAGGGGGCTAGTGAAAGAAGAAAAGGCTGGCTCCTGACGCACTTTCTCCTGGTGGGAGGGGAACAAGGGACCCGAGCCCACTGGTGACGTTTCCCTCACGTGATCAGGAGCCGATGTGTACAGAAGTCCCTCTCCTCCAGGTACGTTCCTTATTTCCGTGGAGAAAGAGATTTTTAGACTGAGGGACAGCGGGGCCAACTGCCTCATAGCCCTGCAGGTCGGTACAAGAATGTGTGTGTGTCTGTGTTTGAGGGTAACCTTGGAGTAGGATTGGTGAGACAGATAGAGGGAGGATCTGGTCTGCTTTACAGATGCAACCTCCCTCTCACCCCCATTCATTTTGGCACAGAAAATTGAGTGAATGTTGTGAGAGAGGTCTGGGTACCATCTCTTATTTTTCTGGGTAAGTGCAGGCTTAGGGCAGACAGAAATATGAAGAGAAGGAGGCATCTCTCTGGGAAGGCTACAAAGCCACTGCTGCCTGCTGACCCCTGAGGTGGGGGTGGCAGAGGGCAAACACCAGAGAGGGTCCAGGACTCAATTCTCTCTGTCCCTCCCCCGATGCCCATCGTTTGGTGCAAGAAATGGAGGACTTGGTGGGAGGAGATGGAGAGGGGTTAGGGGTTGAGAATGGATATCAATTAGGACGTCCTAGGAGGCAGGCTATGTGATGGAGGGAGAATGGGGGAGGGGGAGAGGGTTGTTTGAAGAGGATGGCAAGGAAGTGGCCTGATCCCTGCTGGGTGGCTGGAGGAGGGTAAAGCCTGAGATCTCCGGATGGGGGGTGGGGCGGACCCCTGAAAAGGACTGCGCGCTAGGTATATCTTCCCCACCTTCCGCCCCTTTTGGAGCCAAAAATTTTGGGCTAGTGTGTGTGTGTATGTGTGTGTGTGTGTGTGTGTGTGTGTGTGTGTGTGTGTGTGTGTATGTGCGCGGGAGCGGGGGGGAGGGCGGCGGGGGGGGGGGTTAGGTGGTCAGGTGTTGCCTATGAGGGTGATAGAGGTTCAGTCTGTGGAGTCCAGCTCCCTGTTGCGGAGGAGTAGCTTCTGAATTAGGGAGGGTTATGAGGAGGCAACATAGACCTAAAATTTTACTGAGTTTGGAAATAATTTGTCTCTTGCTTTGTAGGAAAATGTCGTCTTTCTGTGTACGTGGAAGAGGGGGGAGTGGCAGGAATGCTCTGGACATTTCTACCCTGCCCCCCCCCCAACTCTACCATCACCATTTTCAGAGAAGTGAGGGGCTTTGTGCTATCTGGCACCGTGGGGCAGGGAGCTTGAAAGGCAGAGAGCTGAGCACAGTCTGCCTTCTGAACACCACTGTCCTGAACCTCACTCATTTTAGTGCAAGAAAAAGTGAGCTAGAACTTTGGGAGGAGGATTCAGAAATATAGAAACACGTTGGAAATTGTTTTTATCTGCCATTTCCCAGTGGTAGAAAAATGGAGGCTGTTAAGGAGGGACTGTAGAGGGGGATCAGAGGCCCAAGGGAAAAGGGTAAGGGTAGCAGGAATTGGGAAAGTTTTGACAACTATAGTTCAAAAAGAGTCAGTGTCCCTGTTACCAGTCATTCGCTTCACAATCCCTCATTCACCATCTGTCTTCTGTCTCTCTACAGGTCTTCAGGTCTGTGGTTGCATAAGAGAAGGAAAGACCTGCAGGAGCAGTGCAGGTCAGTGGGAAAGAACAACTACCCCAGGACCCCTGGGAGTAGGAGTGATCTAAGCCTGAGCAGAAGTTGAGGAGGCCATCTCCTGCCACCTCTCTTCCAAGTTTTCCTATTCCAGCCTCAGAATCTATGGCCTCTGTCGGGACCCTAAGGGAACTTGGTGCTTTATGGCTGGTGAGGATGGTGGGGGAGAAAAAGGAAGTGAGAGATGGTGGTGTGGCATTTGTGAAGCCTCTTGAAAATATTAGAGTTCCCCTGAAATCTGAGAACTGGCCATGGCTGTTGTGTCTGTAGATCTGTAAGTCTTACAATTGCAAGCAAGGGAAAAAAGAGACTAGTCAGAATTCTTGCAGGTCATTTTAAGTTGGGGGCTACCCAGTTAAAATCGTTATGCACACACCTAAGGCCAGAGCAAAGTTTAGGGACACATCTGTTCTTACATACTTCTCAACACAGTCCGCTTAAATACACAGAGAAGCACTTATGGAAGTTTCTATAAGGCTGGCTCATGCAAACATGTGTGGAGTGGGAGGGAAAGGAGAAAAAGTATGGGTGGGAGTGCACTTGAATGTTTCCTGTGAGGAAACCCCTACATCATAAAGGCAAGTATCAGGACCTGCATTCCACCACCTAAGTCCTCAGTCCCCTTTGTCTCCTCTTTGCCTCCTAGGACAGGCAAAGGAGGGGACATCTCAACATGGAAAAACTCTACAAGGAAAATGAAGGAAAGCTGGAAATCGAGGGAAAGCCAGAAGAAGAAGTAGATACAGAAGATGAGGGAAAGTCAAATGAGGAAGAAAAGCCAGAAGTGGAGGGGAAGCCAGAGCATGAGGAAAAGCTCCAAGACCAAGGACAGCTAGATGACGCGGGGAAACAAGGAAAGCAGAGCAAGTCCCAAGGTGAGGGGAAAGCACGCAGTGAGGGCAAGCCAGAACCCCAGGCCAAGCCAGAGAGCCAGCTGCGAGCTGCCGAAAAACGCCCGGCTGAAGAGTATGTGCCCCGGAAAGCTAAGCAAAAAACGGACAGGTGGACGGATGATTCCCTCAAGGACTATCAGGAGGACTTACAGAAAAGGCATTTGGGCATTGAGGAGAGGATGAGAGAATGTGGAGATGTGTCAAGGGCTCAGGAAGAGCTAAGGAAAAGACAGAAAACGGGTAGTTTTCACTGGATGCAAAGAGATGTACAGGATCCATTCTTCCCAAGGGGCCAGCGGGGTGTCAGGGGAGTGAGGGGTGGAGGTAGGGGCCACAAAGACTTTGAAGACAGTCCATATATTTAATGTCTTTGGCCTTTAAATCAATTTATCTGATGGGAATATTGCCAACCCTGCTTTCCCTGGCAGGCGTTTGCCAGGCAATGTGCTTTAACTTCATGCTGATACTTTACATTAGGCATCACCCTTGTTACCAGCAGCCTTTTGCTCCAACTACACAGTACTCTCTGTTTCAGTAGGGGATTTTCACCCATGTGCATGGAATATATGTTCATGGTACATTGTAAAAATAATAAATAGTTTTCAGAACTGCATATATAGCATCAGCCATTTTTGGGGGAGAAAAAGTTACACAATGCATCCATGTGTAGGAAAAATTATGGAACAGCGGACCAAAGGAGGAATAATGATTTTCTCTGTGTGCTGACAGTGGAGGAACTTATGCTTTTTCTCATTTGCACTTTTCCCCCTAAAAACATATTACTTTGTCATAAAATAAAAAATAATAAAAATAAAATATTTTTTAAAGTAGAAAAATATATACCAAGCAATCAAAATAACTGTTCAGTGAGTTTATGAAGGTAGTGGAGACACTTCAAATTCCTGTTGTCAGGATGTGAAATTATGTGTAAAACTCACATTATCTCTGAGACTCGAAGATGGAGGAATCAACCAGGCAGTTATGCATCCATTGTGTTGTCATCTGTGAAGTGGGAATAAAAATTGCCTTCAGGGCTGTGGAGATCAGATGAGATACTGAGTGTATAAGCTGTGTTGGCTGGCTCCTACCTTACTCTGCACTAGCAAGGCCAAAACCCTGTCAGATGTTTGGAGTAGGATGAGGAAGTTCTCAATTTTGTCTGAGAATAAGTCCAGACAGCTTAGAGGTGGATGCCACTCTCTTCTGGGACATACCATATCTGTTGGGCACTCTGCCTCTTCTCATGGGCCCTGCACCCTCCTAAGGGCCCCACGGCTCCTGATAGGCTGGAGTCCCCAAGGTAACAAAGCCCTTTTGATTTCCCTGGAGTCCCTGGTGAGTTGAATCCCCACTATATTCCCTACTGAACTGTGAAGAAGGTCCCTCTTCTCATGTTATAATTGTATTAATCCTGACATGAAATGTGAAAAAATACATTGTAAAATCGTTATTAATATATTTTAGGCATGATAATTACCCCACTAGACTTGCACTTCTCAAAGTAAAGAAATCTTACTCATCTTGGTAGCCACAATACATAATGGAAGCTAAAAAATCAATACATTAATTATGGACTTAGAAGGTCTCAATTCTTGGCCCAGTTATTGGCCTGATTAAATACATAGCCTTAAGCATGTAATTTCATTCTTTAGTAACTGAAATTTGCTACTCCGAAAGGAGCACAGCAGGAGAGCACATTGATTACAAGATACAATGATTTTTAACATTGGGTATAGAAGTGTTTCTCAAAATTTTCTAGCTACTAGCAGGTTACCTGCACCCAAATCTATCTTAAAAATGCAGAATCCTGGCTCCCACCTCAGTTTCAATGCATCAAATCTCTTTTGACCTGTCCTCACAATGTCTCTGTGTGTTCAGATACAGTGAAAAGGAAAAGAAGAAATTTTTTTGTGTGATGGGAACTCTTAGGATTTATTCTCTTAACATTATGTATGTTTTAGCTCATTTTACTTTTTATCAAATGGATACATGTACAAAATTCTAAAATCCAATAGTGCAAAATAATTTATTATTAAAAACTCTGGTCTGCCTTGCCATTCCACATTCCCTCTCCAGAGACAACTACCATAATGTTTTGGATTACTTCTTATAGTTGCCTCTGTATTTCTGAATCATATGATTAGGCTGCTTTTCTTTGTTAAACGGCTTCATCATCGAAGTGTAATTTACATACCACAAAATTGACACTCAAAATTGTGCACACTTAAGGCATACAATTCAGTGTTTTGGGTGGTTTTCTTTAGTATATTAACAGAGTTCTGAAACCATCACAATTATCTAGTTTTAGGGTATTTTCATCACCCTAAAAAGAGCCCCATGTCCATTAGCACCTACTGCATTCCCTCTCCCCACCAGCATCTGGCAAACACTGATCTATTTTCTGTCTCTATAGATTTGCTTATTCTAGACATTTCATATGAAAGGAATCACAATATATGGCTTCTTATATCTGACTTCTAGCATAATGTTTTCTAGGTTTATCCATACTGTAGCATGTATCAGTACTGAACATTCATGTAGATGTTTTATTTGCTTTTTAAAAATAAACTATTAAGTCAAAATATAAAATTTACAAGTACAGAAATGATGGTTCTGCCTTAGTTTATTACGTAGATAACCTCAGAGCATGCTAATGAAGGTGTATTATAAATTCAATTTACAGTGGGGCCTTGACTTACGAGTTTAATTCATTCCGTGACGGAGCTCATAACTCAAATGACTCGTATGTCAAATTAAAAAGTGAACAAGTGAGACACGTGATGCTGGGCTGATGTTGTGGCGTTCACTGTGACGTTCGCTGCGCCAACTATCAGTGGGGTATCTGAAGCTAGCTTGTAACCAACTCAAAGCAAAAAATTGGCCGAGAGAAGACTCGTATCTCGAAAAACTCGTTAGTTGGGACACTCATAAGTCAAGGCCCCACTATGTTTGTTTTGTGTCTGGTTTAAAGAAAACACAAGTGTGTCCTATTTGATATTCTAGTTAATTTCTGTTGGAAGAAGCAAAGATATTTATTTTTTATTTTTTTAAAGAAAATGTTGTTTCCAGTTTTATTGAGATATAATTAACATACATCACTATATAAGTTTAAGGTGCACAGAACAATGGTTAGACTTACATATACTGTGAAATGATTACCACAGTATGTTTAATTCACATCTATCACCTCATAGATACAGTGAAAAGAAAAAGAAAACATTTTTTTCTGTGTGTTGAGAACTCTTAGGATTTATTCTCTTTACATTACACACACACACACACACACACACACACACATACATATCATATAACAGTGAAAATGTTTTGTGTGTGAGCATGTTTTAATTTTCTTGGAGATATATATATATAGCTATATATATATATATATATATAGCTAGGTCATGTGATAACTCTATGTTTAACTTTTTTTAAAATCCTCACCAGAGGATATTTTTTCCATTGATTTTTTAGAGAGAGTGGAAGGAAGGGAGGAGGGAAGGAAGAAGAGAGAGAGAGAGAGAAACATCAACGTGAGACATTAATTGGTTGCCTCCCCCTCACGTCCCTACCAGGGCCCAGGTTCAAATATGTAACCAAGGTAAGTGTCCTTGACCCAGAATCGAACCCACAACCCTTCAGTCTGCAGGCTGATGCTCTAACCACTGAACAAAACCAGCCAGGGCTATGTTTAACTTTTTGAGAAACTACCCAATTATTTTCCAAAAGCAACTGTGGCATTTGACAACCCCATCAGTAGTGTACAAAGGTTCCAATTTCTCCATATTCTCACCAACACTTGTCATTGCCAGTAATTTCTATTATAGCCATCTTTGTGGGTATGAAATAGAATCACATTATGATTTTGATTTACATTTCCATACTGGCTAATGATGTTGAGCATTTATTGATGTGCATATTAGCTATTTGTACATCTTCATTGGAGAAATGTCTATTCAAATCCTTTACCCATTTTAAAATTGGGTTGGTTTCTTGTTATTGTTGAGTTGTAAGAGTACTTTGCTTATTCTCAACACAAACAAGTCCTATATCAGATGTATAACTTGCAACTGCTATTTCTTGACTTAACTTTAATCATTTTTTATTGACTTTCTGATATGATAATTGAGTAGTTACCTCTTACTATCATGATCTCCACTATCTATTTCCTGACCCCAATACAGTTTTACCACATATAATGTGTATTTCAACAAGCATTCCAATGATTCTGTTGCTTAACTCTGAGGGCCTTTAGGTGCACTCATCAAGTTAGGCTAAGCATATGCTAGGATAGCTACTAATCCCAAAACATCAGTGGCTTAACACAACAAAGTTTTATTTCTCAAACTTAATGAGGATTGGGGATGAATAGGTTCTTCTCCCCCTAGTTTCCCAGAGATTCAGACTAATCATGATGCCACCACAGCAGAGAAAAAAGAATGCATGGAGATCTCATACTCATTTTTCTACACTTTGGTCTAGAAGTCATGTAAATCACCGATATTCACAGTCCATTTTTTCATATTTCTATCTCTTTTAATTCAGACAAGAAATTCTGAAAGAAGTGCTGTTAATGCTCTCTATATAGGTGACTAAACTGATGCTCAAAGAGTTTATGTGATTTATGCAAGGTGACATCAGTAAGGGGAAAAGCTTAGGTTGGAACCTCGGTTTATTTGGCTCTAAACTGATAATCCTCAACTAGTTTGATTTCCTAAATCCAAGGATTTGAATTTTATTTTCACCTGTTGCTCAATCAATCCTTTAAGATGTCAGAATAATGGTAATGGTTATTAGATGACATACTTAAAGAGGAAGGCTCACAATGGCATTGTTTCCTCCACCATTAATGCCTTAAAAAGGAATTTCATGCCAATTGACAGTTCAACTGCCTTGGCCAGCAAATCATGAACTATGCTTACAGTGCAGGTGGATGTTCAGATGGTTATGCTATGGAGTTTTATTTCTATCCCTACAAAGTTCTTCATATACCAAAGGGGAAAAGTACTGGAAAAAATACAAGGCTTTATGACTAACAGTGAAAGTCTTGAGCCTATCACCTGTTGTTCCCACAGATAATGTTGCTAAGGACAGCCATAAAATAAGAGATAACTATTTTGCTTCTCCATCACTATATTCCCAAACACAAGAAATGCTTCTGGGGTAAAGAGAGAAGTATTTCTTTTTTTAAAAAAAAAAAAAAATTATTTCAGAGAGGGAGCGGGAAAGAGAGATAGAAACATTAATTATGAGAGAGAACCATTGATTGGCTACCTCCTGCATACCCCACACTGGGGATCGAGCCTGCAACCCAGGCATATGCCCTGACCGGGAATCAAACCGTGACCTCCTGATTCATAGGTAGATGCTCAACCACTAAGCCGGCAGAGAGAAGATTTCTGAGAATAGTATCCAACTTCAAATCATTAGAACAAAAAAATTTGTATTGCTTATGGGAACCACAGGGAATTTATATCAAATGTTATATTTAAGTTGTAAAATGAGCAAGACAATTTTTGGTTTCAGCTCCAAATGGAGAGCTGAAAAGAATGCCACTCACACCTATAGTAGGAAAAATTTTGGACAAACTGCAAAACAACAAATTTTCTTAAAACCACCAGAGAACTAAGTCCACAGAGCAAATAGTTACCCCAGAATCTAGAGAGAGACTCATGGAGGGAGAAATAGTACACAAACATTTGTTTATTTGGGAAGAAACCACCAAACACTTGTAGGACAATAAGAAAATTTAGCTAAAAACTGCTAATGCATTTCTAAAGACTGTGTGAGGGCTAGCATGAGAGTTTGAAGTTCCTCAGGGCCACAGACATAAGGGGCTTGCACTCTTCTTGCAGGCTTTACTTTAGAAACTGAATAGGTGTTCCCAAGGAAGATCAAAGAAAATCTGAGAAAACTTGCCCAATCATGCCAGTTAGGAGTGGGAGGCAGCATTCGCTATTGAAATTCCAGCCAGACCTATTTCCCCTGGTAAGCAAAAGACTTAATCTGCAGGAAGAAGGACAGCAAAGCCCATATCCTGAAGGCAGTTGTGGAAACCCAATGCAGCTGGGAAAGGAAACAGAAAAACAAAAAGCTCTATGAAGGGAGAGGGCAGGCATGTGTGCTAGGCTCAGCACTATATCTGGAGGAGAGGCATGAACACATATAAAGGTTACACCACCCAAAAAACCCAGTGCTTGCCAAAAATGAACACCTGATCAGAACATCAGAGAATGCCTGTATCTCTCCAGAACACATCCTCCATGATTGCCCTGTTTATTCCCCTCCTTCCCCCTCATAAACTATCTCTGAAAAGGAGCCAAATTTAATTCCATGAATCTGTGGAGCAACTTATGTCCCAGTGCATTGTCAAAAACAATAGAGCAATCAATCAGCTTATTAGTGGAACTTAGCAGCCAGGTGTGTTCTGGGAAAGAGATGGTAAAGAGAGGATTTTCAAATCCTCTGTCATCTCAGAGAGAATGTGGGTATACCCAATGTTGTGCCCTCTGAGGAGCAACATAAGAGGATTCACATAGCAGGAAGGAAGTAGACATCAGTAAAGTAATCCAGGCGGCCACTAAACAAATAAGCAAATAACAACAATAAGCCACAGAAGAAGAGCACCAAGTATTCAGAGTTAATAAAATATATTGTCTGAAAAAAATGCAAGACATGCAGAGAAACAAGAAAGTCTGACACATACATGAGGAGCAAAGCAGGCAACAGATACTGCCTGTGAGAGTGACTCGATGTTGAATTTAACAAAAACTTCAAAGTATCCAATATAAATATGTTCTAAGAATAAAAAACAACTGTGATTGCCCTAGCTGGTTTTGCTCAGTGGATAGAGCATCGGCCTGCGGACTAAAGGGTCCCAGGTTTGATTCCAGTCAAGGGCACATGCAAGGTTGCGGACTCGATCCCCAGTAGGGGGCATGCAGGAGGCAGCCAATCAATGATTCTCTCTCATCATTGAAGTTTCTATCTCCCCCCTCTCCTTTCCTCTCTGAAATCAATAAAAATATACTTAAAAAATAACCGTGATTAAAGAAGTAAAGGCAGTTATGATGAAAATGTCAGATCAAATAGAAAAAATCAATAGAGAAGAAATAAGTGGAAATTTTGAGGAATACAAAGAGAAAAATTTACTAGAGTAACTCGGCAGTGGACTTGCGCTAGAAGGAAAAAGAATTAGTGAGTGCTAAGATTCATAGATTTTATGTACTTTGAGGAACACAGGGAAAAAAGAACAAAGAAAACTGAAGAGAGTCTGGGTGAAATACGGGACACTATTAATTGCACAAACAAATACATAATAGGAATATTGAAAGGACAGGAAAGAGAGAAAAAGGAGCAGAAAATACTCAAAGAAATAATTTCTGAAAACTTCCCAAATGTGATGAAAAATGTCCATCTACTTATCCTGGAAGTTCAATGGACCAACA